TACTAATACTAAAGTAATCGATATCATAATAGTACCGGTAGTCTGTTGTTTTGTATAGGATGCCTGTGGGCCACCTGTAGCTCTCTCATTCATCTCACTGTATACAGCCCCTGTGGACCCTCCATGCTGCTCACTCCGTCGGGCTGACATCACTGTGGAGGCATGCAAGGGCCTCCTCATCTGCTCCCAATTATGGACTCACAAACTGTGGAGAAAAAAAAACAAAAAAACTTCAAACTGCTTGGGCCCACAGAGGAACAACCTGAGCCCCAAAACAAACTCATGTTGGGACAGACCAGAGGACAGGATAGCACTTCTCAGGAGCTTGTATCAATGTGGTTTTACCCATGTCCTATATATATATATATATATATATATATATATATATATATATATATATATATATATATATATATATATATATATATATATATATATATATATATATATATATATATATATATATAAGATGTTACTAATAACTTCCTATTTTTATATTATTAGACATGTGCAAAATGTATATGGCTTTTCCTATTCCTGTTTATTGAACAATACCCATATCCTCAATCATCCTCTGATGACATCACCTCTCAGCACAGCCCCCACCCTTCCTCCTGAGCATGTCGCCAGCCATCTGAGCGCTCAGCCTTTCTCTTCCTGGGAACACCACTTCATTATGTAGATGAATTGTCTTATTGTAAGGGCCAAACTGGCTCTTACCACAGGAGTGAGCGGGGCCTCCCTGGACATTGGGCCTTAATACCACGACCTGGCTTCAGGGGTCACTTCACTCTCTGTTTGAATAGCATCTCATGTAACGGATCAGTGGTCCACTGGCCCTTTGCTCTGTCCTGAGTCTGACCAGGCACCACTGGCTCCTGAAATACTTTATCAGATTGATCTGATAACAGAGAAAAGACAATGCTGCTTGAGGCATCCTTGATTGTGCTGACAGCATGCCCAGGCTTTTGTCTGGTTAAATCATATGCTATACAAGGTTTCTAAAGTCATATAAGTCACACTAAAATGTGTTATATGCAATTAATTTTTCGCTTTAAGTTTGAAGAAACATGTTCTATCTGATAAACTTGATTTGTTCTGTATTTGCTCCTCTGTTGTAGCATCTATTAAAGAACTTTATCAAAACACAGTTGATTTGCAGGTGACAAAGTCTGCAGACTTAAAGTATTGTGTGCACAGTGTTGGGGAGTAACAGATTACATGTACCGGAGTTATGTAATCAGAGTACAAATTATGAGTAACTGTATTCAGTTACAGTTACTGTTTCAGTGAGTAGTAATTGGATTACAGTTACTTTGTTGAAATAAACGGATTACACGGTGGTATTTTCCTGTTTTCACATTTTGGGCTATATCCCTTTTTTTTTCTTCTTTTTTTTAGCTAAACTAGAGCTAAACTTTTAGCTAAACTAGATCTAAACCAGGTCTAAACCAGGTCTAAACCAGGTCTAAAACCAGGTCTAAACCAGGACTAAACCAGGACAAAAATGATGCCTAAACTAGATCTAAACCGGGTCTAAACTGGGTCTAAACTGGGTCTAAACCAGGTCTAAACCAGGACTAAACCAGTACTAAAACCAGGTCTAAACTAGATCTAAACCAGGTCTAAACCAGGACTAAAACAGGACTAAACCAGGACTAAAACCAGGTCTAAACTAGATCTAAACCAGGTCTAAACCAGGACTAAAACAGGACTAAACAAGGACTAAAACAGGACTAAAACAGGATTTAACAGGACTAAACCATGCTGCATGGACATGTTTCCTCCTCTTCTATCAATAATATTTTTAATACGGTTAAGTAAAATCTGGGCTTTTCACTTTCTTTTATCAGACAAAACATCTTATGTGAAGATATCCTGGGCTTTGCTTCTCTACAGCAAATCAAGTAATCCAAAGTATTCAGATTACGTTACTCACTTTAAGTAATTTAATGGATTCCGTTACAAACTACATTTTGGGGTATGTAATCTGTAGGGGAATACATTTTAAAAGTAACCTTCCCAACAGTGTGTGTGCAACTAAAAGAACTTCTGAATTTACACTTATTCTAAAATGGCCTCTTGCCTTAGAAAGCATCTCAACATTTTGATCTGAACTGTGCATTTTATTATTGCTGCATATGATGCAAAATGCAATAGCACCATGACTCACAGAGGAGTGGAGAGTGCAGTTTCAAAGCTATTCAAAACACTGTTAACAGCCCAGTGTAATGAATTCCATGGCAGAACAAACCTCTGTGTGTGGGAGACTGTGAGCTTAGCTAAATAAACCCTGTCTGGCTGAGTGGCCCCTCTGGTGCCCAACACAGTGGGACAGGAGCTGACCAGTCTCTCACAGGTCAGTGCATGGACCCAATGTTAATTACACCTAAACTGACCCTAAGCTCAGCAGTGAGCCTATAGGAGTATCACCCCTGCTCTGTCAGCGTGACCCCAGCACACATGACAAACTGGCCTGCTAAAGAATACTGGACCTGTTCTGGTTCAGGCAGATAGCACATATCTCCTCTGTTTCCTGTGGTGGCAGTGACCACATCTGATTTTTGATCCTTCTATCCTTATTAGCTATTCATGTTTTCACCTTATGTGCAGATCAGCATTGCCACTCGACATGAGTCCAACAGTTCAAAGGAAGTGTTGCTTGGAAGTATGCACACCTCCCTGGGAGTGGCCGGGCGCGGGACACCTGCCGCGCGCTGGGTGCTGTGAGCGCAGCCGTGTTTAGATCAGGGACTGAGTTTCCCTCTGAAGATGTGGAAAAGGTTTATGGCACACTCCCATGAGAGTGGCTCCTGCTCTTTGAAGTTGCTGTCTTGGTGGCTGCTCTTATCTCAAGAAAGGATTATTTTATCTCCGTCTGTTTCATTCTGTCTCTTCTCCATCTTCTTCTGGTCTCTCTTCTCACCTCTGCTTGGGTTTGCCCTTTGTTTTTGACATATTCATTTCTAATTCCCCCCCCCCCCCCCCAAATTTTTACGACGGCTTTCTCAGTATTCACACTTTCTTGTTCCTTGTTCCACTGTACTCACCCAACACATGACAGACTGTGTAATTAATGAGTATCATAAACCTCTCTTTCTATTAGCTACCCATTAGTAAACCTGGCAAGCCTGTCATTTTGGACAAAAACACACAGCTCCTTCATTTGATCCCCACATCAAAGGAGGAACCCCACTGTTTTGGGCTGAATACACTAATTGTGTCCTCGTTCTGGATGGGGCTACCCCCCTCTGCTTCAAAAAGACAGCTTGTGCAGAGAGCAGATAGTAAAGAGAAGTACAGAAGCAGAAAGTATTGATTATATAGGCCTACATTTGGGTACCATCTGACACTGGCAAAATTACAAGTTATTTAACATTTAGACATGTTTTAACATGTCACTTTTACCCAGTCAGTTACACACTGTAAGAAACATCATAAACGCCTCATTATGTTTTTACTGAAGTTACTCAATTCACCTAATGCTCTATACCTAAATGTCCAATTATACATTTTGCTATTAATATAAACCTGACACCTAGACATCTCTGGACATAGACGTAATGATAATGATAATATAATATTGTATTTTACATATGTTCCAGAACTCGGCTTGGTTTGAATGTAATTTCAAGAAAGTGCCAAGAGATGCAGAGTAACCCAGTCTAACTGTGTTCATTTTAGATATAGCTGATTTACCTTTTACAGTATCAAGACGTGCGTCTATTGTCTTTTGCTGTGTTCTTTAAGTTATGCCTATCTGAAGTGAGCGTCTGTAAAATCATTCCACCTTTACTGCTCCAATTTCATATGCTTGGTTACTTGATTAAAGAATGCTGCATCACAAGATGCTGTTGGTACATCCAAAATTAAATGGACTATGGAGCAATAACAGTCAGACTTTTTCAACAAAGAACAACAACACAGTTCCAAATTAATGTTGTACCCTTATCCCATGATGCGAGTGCCCCTGCATACTGACCTATGGTTTGACACATTGCATGCTGGGACATCACAATGGGCCAAACCACTAATGCCTCAGAAATCAACAACACTGTACTTCACTCATTATTGTCTTTAGCCTTTACAAGTCTCCCAGCCCTTTGTTCTTCAAAATAAAGGCAACAGTCACATAAAGCTCTGAGCGCCTGGCAGCTGCTCCTCTCTGTCATATATGCGCTCCACATCCCCCTCTCCTCCTCCATGACTACCACCTCTGGAGGGTTCTCCTGGCATTGTCCCCTAACAATATTACAAGGGCATAAACACACAAGCCAAAGTGTCTCTGGTAAAGAAGCAGTTTCCAAGATGGAAGAGGCCACCATATTTACAAACCAGTATGACCTATGGCAGGTTTTTATTTTCCCATGTCTGAAGCAACTATGATTGCCAATACAGTTGCTTTGATTAAATGACTCATGCAGGGGTTTACCTATTCGCATAATGGGACTGATGTGAGCTTTGGGAGTTTGTGTCCATGAGAGGGCGAGGCTTTAAACCTTCCAACCTTCACAGGCTTCAAAGACAGGGATGGGAAATAAGGCCTGCAAAGCCATCTCTCCGCTGGCCTCTTCAAAGCACAGGAAGTGTGTCACAGGGACAGGCCCTCTTTCCCAGCAAATTCTTGTGAGTTGCTATAATAACAAGCTCATCAGAGTGTCTGTGGCAAACTAGTTCAAAGGGAGCCTGATTCTTCTATAACATGTGATGATAGAGTCAGGATGCACAGACTGCTGTGTAGGACGAATGCATTTTAAGGCTACATTAAAGGCATATCCAATGTCAGGACTTCATCATCAACATCACCAACACCACTATCATCAATATTTTTGAGAATATTCATGTTCATAACGTTAAAAAAAAACAAGAGAAGAACAGTTTTGTTTTCAAGTATTTTACTTTGAAAAACGTCCCCGGAAGTCACTCTCCTGCTACGCCTTGTTAGTGGCGGGGCTCGCTTGGGATCAAAGAGTGGCTTCGAGCCCAGCCATAGCGCTGCAGCGCGCAGTCTGCTCTGTCTCCACGGACGCGCTGCTGTCTGGATACCACGGTTTTCGCTTTTCTTGGAATTATATTTTATTCTGATGCTTTTAAACTTAACCTCGATGCAGAGAAATGGGTAAACTGCATTCGAAACATGGTAAGGCTTTTTCTTAGGAAATCTACGCTTTTTGTTGTTCTGCTTGTGTCGCGCTACTTTCTAGTAACTATTGTCTTATGTTTCTGTCAAGCTGCTATTTGTAAACCAAGGGAGAGTCCAGAAGGTAAGCACTTTTTTCCTACTCACTTACCAGTATTTCAGTATAATTTTCCAGTCTATTAGCCTATTGGAAAATGGGTTTAAGAGTCTATTAACTGCTGAAGCGAACACCACTTGGGATTGCTTAATAAAACACATCTTCATTGCCAGAGCAGCACCTCGCTTGGAGCTAAAGATGTTCACGTCTTTGTTTCAGGCGACAGTTTTGTAGTTAATGCCTGCTTGGCAAAGAAGGGAATAGACGACTGGTTGGCAAAACAGAAGTACTATCAGCAAGACTATCCACACAAGAACAACTGCGCTCTGACTCCACGGGTGAGTATCCTCCACACGCACCGCGCTCCCACGAAAACGTTTTACTTTTTAAAATGCCTCTTGCAAACTATTTTATGCAACATCTATTTGACTAAAAGTAGATACTTGTGTGGTGCCTACAATGCTCATAAAATATGTTAATTTGATTCGAAAGTCCGCCTGTTGGAATACAAACGGCGCACAGCATAGTCTTGCACATGTTGTCTGCATGTAATTTAGGCTATCCCATCTGTTTTACAATAATTTAAAATGGTAGTTTCATTTAAGACTGTTGCTCCATTTGATTTTAAAGGTAACGATAGATCAAACTAGAGTTGAAAGCATTGCTGTGTGAGTGGTGACAAGCGTGGATGGTAGAGACTGGAGTAATGTGAGAGGTCATATTGAGGGTTTTTATTGGCTTTGCCACAAACAAGATATCATTGTTATCGTTTGGAAACCCTTCGAATGAGCTTCGTGGGAGCTTTAATCTGAGTTTGGAGAGCAGACACCGATCAAAGAATCAAGAAGAGCAGGTTGTCTGCCTTGTTTTATCCTATCTTAGTAGTAAAGGCGCATGGTCTAAAGTTCATGTTTAATAGCATTTACTGGCATTGGCTGTGTCTGTGAATAGTGAAAATTGCAAAATCCTTCCAAGTATTGTAAACCAGCACTGGTGTTTCTGCCTCTGGACTTTTATGATTGAGTGTTATTGTACATTTTCCTGTGCTTTTTCTCAATATATAGGGTACTCAGGAAGCTTAGCACTCATGATGAATCTGAACTGCAATGTGGGTGGGTGTGCAAACAAATCACCAAATCATTTCATGGAGTGTTCTTAAATGTAATGTGAATGCTTGCTGCCATTCTACCAAACATTGCAGCTAAAGTTTATGTTGTTACTTCTTAATACTCCTCCATATGATCAGGATTTTTGAGTTTTGGTTTATCTTAGAAAGTTTTGATCCCCATTTCTATGTAATGATAATCTTAAATGATGTAGCCATGCAGTGCTTTATCATAGACATTGCAGTTACACATGACATGTGGCTTTCAGACTGTGAGTGTTGTGCGCAGGTGGATGTGCCTCAGTCATGTGAGCCTTGGCACGCTCTCTCCCCAGTATGCACCTAACCCTGACCTTGGTATGTTGTGCTGACCCCAGAATGATGTCACTGATGTAGAGATCCATAGCATGGAAGATTTTTACTACTAATAAACCTACTCACTGGGTTGTTCATGAATATACTGTACTTGGCTGTAGGAAAAAATTTACGGCAGCCTGCATTTTATTTAAATGTTTTAATGAGTATTTCATCATATACTTTTGCCAACTTAAAAGAAAGTAGTGATGACCAAAATATGTGTAACAATAACAAAACGATCAATTATCAATTGAATCTAGCATGATTTTGTTAACCCTAAATAGGGTTTAACAAAATTTTGACAACAATCTTAGCACTTAAGTAAAAAAAAAAAAAAGCTGACAATTTTTTTCATTTTTCTATTTAAATTAACACAGGTATATTTATGTCACCCTCACCCTCCAGAAAGTGTACTTCCTTCCAAACCCATTCTATGTCTCATCTGTAGCCAACTGTGTAGCTGTGTGGTATTGGCTGAGTGTGCATTTAATGTGGGCTATGCAGGGAGGTGTTTGTGTGACATTTCTGGCCCCTCCCCCATAGTGTCCAGCTCCGCCTTGTTTGGAGTAAACCAACCCCCCCACACACACACGCACACACGCACGCACGCACACACGCACACACACACGCACACACACACGCACACACGCACGCACACACGCACACACACACGCACACACACACGCACACACACACGCACACACACACACACACAACTACTGCTGCCTGCCACTCAATTTCTTTTTCTGTTTGTTTGTATGTATGGGCTGCTATAAGCTAAAAAGCAATGGTTTATCGCTGCCCTGTTGCAACCAGCACCTCCCTGTCTCTGACTTGGTTGCCAGGTATTTGAATATTTTAGTTACAAAAAGATTTTGTTTGATGTAGCCATGAAGCTTTCAAAGCATTTCCTCAGCCTGGACACAGTGATTTTGCAATCCCTTTATTTTTTGCTTTTTCTTCTCACCTTTCATTTCCTACTGACGCTCCGTTTTTGCATTTTTTGTGACGTATGGCATTTTCATTCTGGGCTCTCTGCTCCCGAGAGACTGAGGGTCTGTTGTTGCTCTTTGAAGAAAAGAAGTTGAGATTCAGATTCAAAAGAAAAGAAAAGGCCGTAGCCTTTGGGAAAGAGGCCTAGTACCTGCCCACAGAGGGGCCCTGTGAGTTTTCCTTTCAATTTTCCCACGAGAATACAGTATGGATGGCTTATGTTGAAGTCCATGAATTGCTGCAGGACTGGGAGGGTGTGCAGGTAGGTTGTCAGCTCATGTCACATTACTAAACAGTGTGACCGAGTTAACAAAGAATTTAGGATAACTGTCCCTTTTGTGAATGACTGGCCTCCTGATGAACAATGGGGAGCATGAGGAGGGTATAGTGCCAGTGGCATGTTGACATCTGATAGATCTTATGTGTTGCCACTTTTAAGTGCCATGATGGTTGGCTGAGGAAGTTCACTACTGCCCCATTTAGATGGATTAAATTACATTGTTTTGATATCTGGATATTTAGAAAAAAGGGAGGAGGAGTTTAAGAGGGGGGTAGTCAAGCACTTAATGAACTAACAACACATTTGCATCAACAGATCTAACAAAATAGCTATTGTTCACAGTCTATGCCTCAGACCCAAGTGAGGCAGGTGTACAGATGCACTCTACAGATCAAAAGCTGCGGTGGAAATGTGCCCAGGATCTCAGGGGATTAGCAATTGAGATGGTTCTTTGTTTCTTCAAATACAAGCTCAGCTTGATCAAAGAATCTTTCGCCACCCTTTCACTGTCTGGGGGCTGGATTGGATTAAAAAATAATACTACATAGAAATGTAGATGCTTTATTTCAGTTATGTGAATGAAAATTAAAAAAAATATTTCCAAAGATTTCGGGCTTACTTGTTATAACTAAGGAAACTGTGGCAAACTGAAGTACACACTGATAAAGCAATACACCCACCTAGACTAAACTACATGAAACAAAAGTTACTCTGTTGGGTAATATGTGCTAAATAGTCAGTATTTGCATGCTATAGCTGACAGTTCAGTTGTGGAAAGCCTCCAGGGCTGTGTTTGTTGCACCTGTGGAACATTTAGTGCCCATTTTATTTAGTAATTTAGAAAGTCTTTTCCAAGTCGGTCTGGATATAAACAATAGTACAGTCAGTTAATCAGTTTTCCCTGTGGATGTTCTGATCTAGGCAATAACTGCTATGAGAGTGCTTTAAGTGGTACTAAAATAGGAAACAATCAACAGTCGTTTAAAACTGTTATAGCAAAGTCCCCAGAGATTCCACACAAGTGACACATAAAGTGTACTTGTGTATTTGTTGTTTTGAATAAATGCATGTGTTTATCAATGCACTCATTGGGGACTCCATGTGCTTGTTTTTCTTGTATACCCTTACTTACAGAGTATGGAGGAAATGGGTTTGCTAAACAGTTGGAGAGGCATTGTGTCTCATGTGGACAGTGGATCCAGGACTCCTCCACTCTTCCTGTGACTTGGAGCTGGAGGTGGTTTGGATTGTGTGTGAGGGGATGTATCCAAGGGAAGCCAAACAGAAGAGTAACCCCCCTGAAAGGAAGGCTGTCCCTCCCTGCTGTGTTTATGCTCCACAGGAGGACTTCTCTGCTCTGGCTACAGTGTCTGCAGATGAGAAGAAACTGTACTTACTTACTAGCTTACTACATTTTATGCTTTTCCTTAATATACTTCACAAATCTGCAATAACAATCTGCATGATTATCATGTTAGTATACAAATGAATAGTGCTATTTCAGAATAGTTGTACTACTCAGTTCATATTCCTTATTTTTGTTTGTATTATAATTAGAAGCACGGCCCACGTTCATCATAGTGAGTGATGACAAAACCCTTAATCCTACAGTCTAAGAATAGCATCATGCCTTTGGCCCCAGTGCACTTGTGTATAGTAGCTCTAGTGTCTATTTCTGCTTCTGTGTTTACTTGCTTAGTTGAAATACTCTCTGTAATTACAGTAATGAATGGTCCATAGTTAAAAGGTCGGATGTGAGCGATGTTTAGAGGAGGTGGCTTGTGGCTACTGGTGTCTGCTCTGCACTATGGATGTCTGTGAGCTTCTGAGTGAAGCGAACACATTGACAGAATAATGCTGACATCTGTACCATGCACTTGTCACAGATTTTCATTCTGCCAATGTCTTAGAAGTTACAGGATGACCAACTAATCTGTGGACAACAAAAAGTCAAAGGTGAACTGATCTTAATACAAATGTTTAACTCAAATGTTTAACTCATAGACTGTATAAAGTAGTGGATTAACGGAGTTAATTTTACTCATAGCGTTTGGCTCCAGTCAAATGAAGCTCACAAGGCTAGCAGTTACAGGAGCGAATTTGGAGTCATATTAGGAATAGGAATTAATTTTCAGAATAAAAAAGCTAAATAAAAACAGCTGGATCATTTAGAATGGGATAACACAAACATTTTAAGACAAAAATGACAAGGGGTGACTATTTTTCAATGTAAAGTCAACTGGTCAGTGGTGTCAATGGAACTGGAAGCGCCCCTATGGTCATTTGGAATGCGTTGGCCAGCCGGTTAGCTATGTCCTTTTATATATACAGTCTATGGTTTAACTCCCAACAGAATATCAGTGGTGAGGTTAGCACATGTCGTTGATAAAAATGTCAACACAGGTGGCACACCAAACATATCATATTTAGTGAATGTTACAGCCTAATATTTGATGAAATTGGCTTATTCAAAATGCAGTCTACATGCATTACACAGTATAAGCAATATAAATTGAATTCTGGTGCCAAGTTTTCTTTAGTAAAACATACAACAAATCTTACACGACAGAAGCTTTATCCAAATCCCTGTAGTTATAAAGGGG